ATGATAGCTCAGTAAAGTTACTGTCTCACAGTTTTTGTCTGTGGGTCTGTTGCCAATAATAACGCCTCTTATATTTTAGTTGAGGTTTTTTGTTTTTGTTTGCTGCTTGTTTTTATACTAGTTATTTATTGTTTGTAGGCTAAAGATCTCATATTTTCTAGTTTTGAGGTACTTTTTGTTTTCTCATGTTTCGTTTCTTTCAAAAAGTAAATATCAGCAATTTTAACAGTCTAAAGTTGCAGGTAAGCTTTTAGTTTGTTATACAGGATCTTCTATAGTCTATTATCAGTATCTATAATCTACACTGTAACATGACGTAACTGCAAGGTCAGTGGTTCAAACCCACTAATTGTGCCTTGGCAAACCTATACAGAGTTGTTCTGAGTCAGAACTGATTAGATAGCACTTAGCAACAACAATCTGTAGTTTGAAGAGAATCCTGGTGTGGTGCTATAAGGTAGGCACTGGACTGCTAACCACAAGTTGGTGGTTCAAATTCACCAGTCACTCCTTGAAAACCCTATACTATACACGGCCACTATGAGTCAGAACTGGGTTGACCGCACTTAACAACAACATAGTGTAAAAGACTTTGGTTTGTTTTGTTTTTTTTAGGGTTACACTTAGGTTTATTTTAATTTTTTAATTTTTTTAAAACTGTTTTATTGTGAATTATGTGTTAATTTACATGGAAGAACATTAGCTTTACATTCATCCTATCGTGTATCATTAAATTGCCATGGTTACAATCCCCTCTCTGCATCATCAACCAACCAAATGGTACACCTGCAAGCCTGCTCCTTGGTTATCAGCTCACAGTCCCTCTTCCTCTCTGTGTCTGGAGTTCCAGCCACTCCAGCTCTCCACATCATCTTCTCTGCCTCCGTCTCTGGAGACACTTTTTCTCTGGGTAGGGTCCCAAACCCTGCACTTCTCACATGATGGTCCTAGGGACCTCTGCTCCTGGCCTGCACAGTCAACCACTCCCCTCATTTTGCTACAAAACATCTTACCTTTACGTTTCCAGCCCTCACAGTCAGTCCTGATAGTAGTTATTCACTGTTGTACCACATGAGTGCTATCCCCATCTCCCTTCTTCAGTCCCACCCAAACAGATTGGATACTACTCACTGGA